GTGCTGGAAACGGCTGCAGGTCCTAAATCTCTGAGATGTTGCTGCAGTACAGTGTTCATGGTTTTGCACTGGTCCAGACCGGAACAGAGAGGATTCATGGTCCGAACCAAGTGGATCAGGTGAAAATCCACTGGAGAGCATTCTGAAAAATGCTAATGAAGCTATTAGCATTTTACTTTGGACCAGAGCAGAGAAAATTGGTCCAAACCAAGCGGCTGCTGCTCCTCTGCTGCTGTTCCAATTTGATATTATTGTTTGCTTTTTTTTATTGTTCTATCTATATATTTGTTTTGTTTGTATGAATGGATGTGGTTCTGCTGCTACTGGACACCTGCATTTCTTCTACGGGATCAGTAAAGTATCTACTGTATCGATCTGCCACAGCGGGGAAGTGAAACAGAACAGTAGAATTGAGGAACACTCGGCACAAGTTAAACGAAAAGATTGTCTCATTCTGCTCCTTGATTAGACAATCTTTTTAAAAATCCCAAACAAAAGTATTGTAAATATATGTTTTTTACTTCACAACTTTTGCTCAAATATGATCTGTTCATGTCGACCGTTGTCAAGGGACACAAGATGTAAACGTCATTTAAAATGAAAATATTTCATACTGTCCCTTTAATATCAGAACTGAATTTAGAAAAATACAACCTCAGTCTCTGTCTCTGCGTGTTTGTTAAATAAACACACGTGCGCACACTCAAACACACACACAGACACAGACACACACACACACACACACACACACACACACACACAGACACAGACACACACACAGACACAGACAGACACACACACACACACACACACACACACACACACACACACACACACACACACACACACACACACACACACACACACACACACACACACACACACACACACACACACACACACACACACACACACGCACACGCAGACACACACTTCGGGTGTTGTATTAATTGATCGCATAAATTACGGTAAAGGACTCGTTCTATGTCTCCACAGAGAGTTTGCTGTAAACCCATTCTTCAAAGCCACTGAGGGCAAAGTGACAGAAGCCCCCATCGCTGCAGCCCCCCCTGACCCCCCCCCCCCCCCCCCCCCCCCCGGAGCCCCTCCCAGAGCCCCCCCTGGAGCCTGATTTATGAATAGAGCTTTGATTAAGACATTTTAAGACAAACATGTCACGGCTTGTTTGACCAAAAATCTGCTTCTTTGCTTGAAATTAATCAAAAAAAGCGGCTTGTTCTATTTGCAAATGTTGTTTCAAACGTAGTCCTTCAAGTCCTTCAATCCTTCATCACATTTGTCGAGAAAATATGAAAAAAAAAATGTGTTGCCGTGAGAACCATTACCTCATGAAAGCTGTATCATTTGTATATTTTTTGTAAATGTGTGCAAAGTTTTTGTTGTTGAAAATGTTTTGTTTGCATTTGCCTCTCATCAAGAACTTCTGGGTTTGTGATACCTGCTCTGTTTGTGTTGGAGAATAGATAAACAGCATCGTATTAGTCCAGTCCTCAGGTCTCTGCACTGGCTCCTGTGGCTCCAAGACCAGACTCTAAACCAGCTCTGGGTGTTAGTCTCTCCCATGTACGTCTGTAGTTTGTATCTATAATCAGCCAACTGGGAGCACAGGGACTGGCCTCCTGCAGGGACTCTGAGGAGCACAGGGACTGGCCTCCTGCTGCTGGGACTCTGAGGAGCACAGGGACTGGCCTCCTGCTGGGACTCTGAGGAGCACAGGGACTGGCCTCCTGCTGCAGGGACTCTGAGGAGCACAGGGACTGGCCTCCTGCTGCAGGGACTCTGAGGAGCACAGGGACTGGCCTCCTGCTGGGACTCTGAGGAGCACAGGGACTGGCCTCCTGCTGGGACTCTGAGGAGCACAAGGACTGGCCTCCTGCAGATCCTCCGATCCTCCATCAGAGAGAGAGACAGAGAGAGAGAGAGAGAGAGAGAGAGAGAGAGAGAGAGAGGGATGTACAGCTGGGAATCTCTCCTCTTTGAATTGTGGCTCTGTCTCTCTCTCTCCCGCTCTATCTCTTTCTTTCTTTCTCCTCTCCCACCCTCTTCTCTCCTCTCCCTTCACTCCGCTCCCCCTCTCGTCTCCCCTCTTGCTATCTTTCTCTCTTTCCATGTCTCACTTTCTCTCTCCCTCTCTCCTCTCCCCCTCCCTCCCTCCCTCCCTCCCTCTCTCTCCTCCCTCCCTCCCTCTCTCTCCTCCCTCCCTCCATCTCTCTCCCTTCCTCTCTCTTGCCTCTCTCCCTTCCTCTCTCTTGCCTCTCTCCTCTCCCCTCTCCTTCTCTCTCACCCCTCCCTCTATCCTTTCTCTCTCTTCTCTCCCTTCTCTCACCTCTCTCTCTCCCTCCCTCCCACTGCCTCTCTCTCTCCCTCCCTCCCTCTGCCTCTCTCTCTCCCTCCCTCCCTCTGCCTCTCTCTCTCTCTCTCTCCCTCTCTCTCTCCATCTCAGCCCGGGGCCTCGCTGCAGCCTCCTCTGATGTCCGCT